TGGTTTAGTAATTTGTAATATATGTTCCCAATCCTCAACGAGCAGACAGGTTGAATTGGTAAACTAGTTAAACACTTTAAAATTGGTAAAAATGTATATGAAACTGATAAAAAACTTAGTTATAAACTACTTTTAGTTATAAATTACTACAATTAATTATAAGACACTTTTTAATTACCGAAAACTTGCAGTTCTTAAAAATTATTTTGAAAGCTTAAATTATGGAACATAAATAATCTGGAATAATCTAACAAAATTCGAAATTCCTCAAGCAGTATAATTTAGGGAATATCTTCATACACTAGAATAATTCAAAAAATCGCTTATAAATATATCGTGAACCCACCAGTCGTTGATGTGTCCATTTTTAAAATCATTTTTCATTTACTTTTAATCGAAAATGGTATCCCGTACACTTGCTTTATTAAATAAATTTTGCACCAAAATAATTTAATTATTTAATATATTTTCTTGCTTTGCTCCATATGGATATTATAATATCGATATAAAAAAAAGAAACTAAAGTTTAACCCCAAAAAGCTGAATTTTTGAGACTTAGTATAACTGAACATTTGATTAATAAATTTAAAGTCAAAATAAGAGTATCGTAAAATATATAACTATGCACTTTTTTAAAAAATTTTTAACGGGGGACAAACTCATACATAACAAAAGTAAATTATTTCTTATTATTAATATGAATATTTCTAGTGCTATTATTAATTATATTATTATTATTGAGTTTATTATTAATATAATTCGATTATTTTTATTAAATCTATCAATATCATTATCTTATCACCAATAACTATATTATTAATATACATTGAACGGTGTTCCAAAAAAAATNAAGAAGGGGACAGAGGATATGCTACTAAAAAGTAAACAGTAGATGATATGTTACTATAAATAGACAGAACTATAAATTGACAGTTACTATAAATAGACAGTAGATGATATGTTACTAAAAAACGAACCATAAATCTGTCTTCACTTCAAGTCCATAACGAAGAAGGGGAATCAACATTTATAAGGAATTGCTTTTATTCTTTTACCTTATCCTATCAATATCTCACTTATTATTATTATTTTATTTTATAACCATCATTGAGCAGCCGACCAAATTTTGAGTTTATTACTACCAAAAACTAGCTCAACCCCGCCCCGCCCCGCCCAAGCAAGGGGGCATCTGGGGACACTCCGATAGTTCGAATTGCGCGCAACAGTTCATTCACATAAGCAAACATATTCAAAATTTTCAAATTAGTGTTTTGACAAATAGGGAGAATGTTAAATATTAAAGGCGTTACTTAGAAATGAACTAAATACAAACAAATATTATAACGAATATGAACAATATCAAACAGGAGAGATATTGGTGTCGAATCTTCAGTAGGGGTGCAAAGTTAATAAAAAGAAACTATTGCACACGGTTAAATATAAGATGTTTGTAACTCATGATATAAACACAGCTGACAGAACAGTACTTAAGGTATCAAGTTCCATGAAAAGATTTTTTTTAACACGGTAAATGTATAATCAAGGGAGCATAAAAATGTACAAACATAACAGTGAGTATGTACATTGAAAGTCAGGTGAATAATTTATGACGCATGGTGCAAAGACCAGCAGTCTGTCCTGAAGGGGAAAAAAGGCATACTCTAAGAACACTAGTGATTAAAAGTTCAAAATGAGGAATCACATAGGGGTAGAGATCGACAAAAAGCATGAAATTAAAATGCAAAAACGACAACAAAAAACAGTTTAAGATAAATAACAGCCAAATCAATAAGAGATTTAAAGTATGTCTTTTCCAACAATAGGCAGCAAGAGGCCATCAGGATTCAGGGAGGTGCCTTGTTACAAAACAATTTCCTCAATTCCCTTTTTTATTTTCGGGTTTGACCAATGCTGCCTAATAAACTCACGGGTAGTTTTCGAACAAAAAAATTTCTCTCTAATGTGTTCAAAATTTGTACAATGGTTTAGTAATTTGTAATATATGTTCCCAATCCTCAACGAGCAGACAGGTTGAATTGGTAAACTAGTTAAACACTTTAAAATTGGTAAAAATGTATATGAAACTGATAAAAAACTTAGTTATAAACTACTTTTAGTTATAAATTACTACAATTAATTATAAGACACTTTTTAATTACCGAAAACTTGCAGTTCTTAAAAATTATTTTGAAAGCTTAAATTATGGAACATAAATAATCTGGAATAATCTAACAAAATTCGAAATTCCTCAAGCAGTATAATTTAGGGAATATCTTCATACACTAGAATAATTCAAAAAATCGCTTATAAATATATCGTGAACCCACCAGTCGTTGATGTGTCCATTTTTAAAATCATTTTTCATTTACTTTTAATCGAAAATGGTATCCCGTACACTTGCTTTATTAAATAAATTTTGCACCAAAATAATTTAATTATTTAATATATTTTCTTGCTTTGCTCCATATGGATATTATAATATCGATATAAAAAAAAGAAACTAAAGTTTAACCCCAAAAAGCTGAATTTTTGAGACTTAGTATAACTGAACATTTGATTAATAAATTTAAAGTCAAAATAAGAGTATCATAAAATATATAACTATGTATCACTTTTTTAAAAATTTTTTAGAGGGAGACAAACTTATCCAAAACAAAAGTAAATTATTTCTTATTATTAATATGAATACTTCTAGTGCTATTATTAATTATATTATTATTATTGAGTTTATTATTAATATAATTCGATTATTTTTATTAAATCTATCAATATCATTATCTTATCACCAATAACTATATTATTAATATACATTGAACGGTGTTCCAAAAAAAATTAACCACCTAATATAACTTTTGACCTAATCATTAGATCTTCACAATCTAGGATTCGTTCTTAATGGTACGAGAGTGTGATTTCAAATATGCTAATTAATTAGTGCAGACGATATTTTAAGCAACGAAATCAGAAGGGTTAAACGGACAATAATGATGGCTTCAAATGTGTAATTAAAATATTTCAATGATGCTAAACTAAGATATATTATACTATGGTGAGTCCCGCAATGGACTGATCGTAAAGACACGGTTCCCAGTAGAACACCGAAGTCAAGCATCACTGGCTGCGGTCACTAACCGGGTGGGGGACCACTTTGATCAGCCTGCGTAGGGATCGAGGATGCTCGGTATCTGTCTTTGTTAATCTATTCTACTGTAAAATGCTCGACATCGCGTGCAGGTCGTCGAGCTACCAAGGCAGTGGAGCTATTCATTCTGCAGAGGATCAAAATTGCGATGGCACGTCTTCGTATCATCCTTAGGGATGTTTCCCAGACCGTCGCCAATAGCTCATTGCGCAGCTCCAGTAGAACGTATATAAAGTACCTACCGACCTATACCATGGTAACTGTTATATTCATCTTTTATGAGGAAGTGGGATTTGTTTATTTCTTTACATTCATATGTGAGCTTCTTTGTAAATACAAAGGGCTTAAAAACTCTTTTCAATTTGAATTTTAAGAAAAACGGCTAGAATATACATCTAATATTTGAGCTGGATTCAAACTCACTACATATACGCTTCCGAGTGGTTATTGAAATAGCAATACTGCACGCTCAGGTTCAAGCAAAATAACTATATATTATTGGAATCTCCATTGCTGCGCGGCGGGGTATTGTACTTCTGCTAAACGCTCAAAGGCGAAGAGATAGTAGGTTTAATATTTTTTGCTGTTTTTCTCATATTTATGCTATCTGTTTTGCTATTTGACAAGAAACAAGCAATTATTTGCATTAAGCACACAATCCCGTATTTGTATCTGAACCAAATTTATTTATTTGCTGGTACACTTCCATGTTTACGCTTTCCTTCAAACCCGCTACTTCCGAAACTGGTGTGAAAATAATTTTTAAAAAAATCACTATTCCAAGAAGTTTTATTTATTGATACACACACATATACAGGCTTGTGTGCTCATTACAAAACACCCTGTATAAGCCCTACTCAAATTTAAGAAAATATTGCTCAAATTAGAGAAAAACATTACAAAGATGCATCTATTATTGGAACGTGGAGGTAGTTGATTCGAATCTCACCGTGTCCCAGGCTATATGTATGTGCTGTCTTTCTGTATCATGTGCTGTCGGCATATCGACTTGGCAAGGGTATATTAGCTGAGCTTATTAATGAGCACACAAGCCTCCGCATGATGAGGGTTATGAAGAGATTTGAACCCGCTACCTCTACACACTTCCGTTTCAAGATGTTAGGACAGCTCTGATGTAGTAATTTTATTAACTATGATATAGTACTTATTTAGTAAAAGTTAAGCTATTAACTTAGTTCAGCCTTGTACAGGCATTTACACATTTACAAACTCGTGATCTTTTTAATTTTAATTGTTGGTAGATGTTAAATTACAGTTTACATAAGAAAGAAACGAATAACCAACGAGAAACAAAGTACGGGTACTTTTACTTACGTCGCACTAGAGCAGCACAGTGGGCTATTGGCGACGGTATGACAAACATTCCTGAGGGTGATCCGGAGACAACATACATTCGTCACATCCTGTTTTACAAGGAGGACACATCCATCCACAAATCACATTTTAACCTGAACAGAGCACGATCAATCTCCAATTCAGTACCCCCAGAGGTTTTAATGTCTTATTGGAACTTGAAGTACTTATTGACTCCGACAGATTTAGAGTGCAACAAAATAATAATGAAAGTACAATTTCGCAATGTGCTCTCTTCCACGATTTCATTAAAATGCTATTAACATGCACGATATAAAAAAAAAACAATAAATCACATTAATCTCTTGAAATAACGAAAAAAAAAATTCTCCACTAAATTGTACCACAATATTTCAAAACTATAAAAGCAAACCGCAAACCAAATTATAGATGATAATAATCTAGCAGACAAACATGAAGAACAAAAACTCAACTTAACTACTTATGATACGAATCTCTTGAAGCTTGAGGTACGGGATTATTGCACAGAAAGGCAAAACAGTAACAAAATGGTAAATAAAAACATCAAATCAGATAAAGCTCCCCCATTTACTTCAAGCCATTCACAAATGCTGTTGAGATGTGGAATTCGATTTGGCAAACTATCTACACATTTCAACCCGTTTTTTCATCAACAACACTACACCATTGACGAAGATTTGGCAGCCGTCAAAGCACAACATCGAAATTACCTACCGCACAGTTTACCTCGGCATTCGTTCAAAAGAATAAAACTGGCGAGCACAAAGACTCGGTTGTCGTGACAGGGACGCAAAACGCTTGACAGGTAAATTGGAACACAAATACACTTCGGCGGAACTCTACGCAACAACACCTCTGCTGAAGGTGCTGAATAACTCTCGAATAGGGAAGAACTAGGTGCTATGTTTAAAGTTATGGGAGTTATAAGGATAACTATGGGTGACAAAGTAAGTTATTCTTGAGCTTTTCTGTACACATTAAATTTGAATATTTGCTATACTATAGTTTATTTGCTATACACCAAATTTATTAATAAAATTTTCTTAGACATGAATTCGTGTGTTCTTAGGTGATATGAATCAAAATTTCTGATTAAGGGTTTCTTAACAGTAGGTTGACTAAAGGAAGTCATTTTGACTGCTTTTTCATTTGCAAAACATGTACTACGTCGCAATAATGCATAAATTAATATTTTCTTTCCAAGTGAAGTACATTTTTTTACTGTTAATATTTACTAATAACTCGTTATATAACTGTAAATAATATAAAAAAATAGTACAAATTAATTAAGCAAATTTCTTTACACATTAGTTATTCCTTCACAATGCAGTAATTTAGACTGCTTTTGAGCAATATAGGTATATACTAAGTTTCAGTCTTTCTAGTGTTAATATATGTATAAGTTTCCGAAATGTAAAATATCAAATAACTTGATGGAGATTCTGCTAAATATAATATGGTTCGGTTTTTGAGAGATGAAAAATCAAATTCGTAAGGAAACTTTGTTGTTTAGATTAATATAGCTTAATTTTGACTTGACAGGTAAGTTGGAACACAAATACACTTTGGCCGAACGCTTCGCAACAACACCTGAGTTTTCTATACACATCAAATTTGAATATTTGCTCATCTAGAGTTTTGCGATAAGATACACCAAATTCATTAAGAGTTTTCTCATATTCGTGAGTTCTAGGGAGTTAGGAACCAAAATTTCTGGTATGGTTTTTCTTAATGCATATGTTACAAGTTTCTGAAAAGTAAAATATAGAATAATTTAAAAGTTTCCGTTAGACTTAAATTTATGCATGGTGACGTTTTTTGAGAGATAAAAAAACAAATTCAGTTATGAAATCTTTATATTTAGGTTAACGTAGACGTGAAAAGACTGTTATCATGATAGGAACGCAAAAATCTTGACTGATAATTTCAGTTACAAATACACTTTAATGGAACTCTAAGCAGCAATACTTATCTTGGAGGTACTGAATAACTTTTGAATAGAAATATATGGTTTAAGTTTTGATAGATACAAAGATAACTATGGGTGACAAAATTTCTGAGTTTTTCCATACGCATTAAATTTGAATATTTGTTTTGTCATATTTAACGTGAAGTATTCTATTTAATTCATTCTTATACTTTTAAAAAAGGGTTTCAAGGTAAGAACCTAATATCGATTTGGTGTAAATTTGATATAACTTTAATGAAGTTTAAAATTTAACCATGTTTTCGTTCAAGTTGAATAGTAATACTATGCAGTCAACCTAAAGAATAGTGAAAATGCAGTTAAAATTGGCACCATATTAAAATTGCAGCTAAATTGAACAATATTATGGATAAACAAATTTGTTGCAATAGTGCAAAATAATATGCTTAGGTTATCAAGGTTTTGCTAGATTTTTTAAAGCATGCATTAAGAAGCACCTGAAAAGTAAACTTTTAAATTCACTAATGGAATTTTCCTTAGACTTAAACATTCATAGCCCTGGAGGCAATATGATAATTATCCATGTTTTCATATTGACCAGGAAAGAGTGTTCTAAAATAACAAGATTTTCAAGTAATAAGAAGTGTCTGTGTATTGGACTAATTGAAATTCTGAAAACTGAAATTTTTAAAGTATCTAACAAGAAATAAGGCTAAAGAGCACTTTGATGCCAAAATTTCAGATTTGGAAAAGTGCTATTTATCATATTGCGCCAAGCTCTTCATGTTAGTTAAATATTTAGGAAGGTAATGGATCAAAATCCGTTGTGAACTTTAAGTCTTACGGGGATCAAACTCTATTTCAAAACTCCTTTTTAGTTATTAAGCAAATTCTTTTGCGTGTTTTTGTATCCAGAAAAAAAAACAATTTAAGTACTTTCCTACCTTAATAAATATTTTCGAATAATTTATTATTAAACATTGAATATTTTTGATACAGAAAGCATCGAAACATTCAACTAGAAAATTTGCTCAAACTGCAGAGATATATCAAATTCACGGATGGATTTTTTTTCTGATTCTTAAATACTTATAATGTTTGACTCATATTTGTTCATATTTGGGAAATACACACAAGTCAGTATTATATTTTACAAATTAGAAAGAAAAAAAGAGTTTTCCTAAGTTGATATTAACTAAGTTGATATTAAGATATATAACTAAGTTGATTTAAACTATTTCCTACTTAAACTATTTATTTCATTTAAAAGAGTGAATTGTTTTCATATAATACACAGCAAAATCATATTTAAATAAAGACATGCAGCAAAATCAATAATGGATAGTATAAACTAGTGCAAAATTTTTTTAATCATCCAAATAGTTCCAGAGATATAACCGAAAACAAAAATGTAAAAACAACATCGCAAATGTTCCAAAAAAGGTATATGCTTATTTTAAAAAAAGTAGTCTTTTACAACTTTAAGTATCACCTTCACTTATTAATTAGCATCTGCCTCTCAAACCATTAAAATAGAATTTTAACACCTGAAAATCAAATCGCTGAAACAGTACAATATAACAAAGCGGTACTCGAAATGCTACTCTCATATCTAGCTGAATTTTTAGTTTTTTACTTATGGAAAATTTGTTTATTTCGCATTTAGTTACGGAGCAATAAATTATTGAATAAAATTGGACATTTTTTAAAAGAAACATAGATATTTTGCCAAATACTTGGAATAATCAGATTTAAAACACTTTTTGAACGATAAACTTCAAATTATTTCTTATAAGAGATAAAAATTACTATTAATATAATACAAAGTTACGCAAAGAACTTTGGAAATTATTACTGTACCCTAAACAACGAAAATTTTTTTCTAAATTTTAATTTTTATCTTCTATCTTCAGTCTTCTAAAACGCTAATTTTTAAATTCTTGATTTATGAGGTAAGACTCTAATTAAAGCAATTTTATATATTCAATTAGGCTTTTTGTCTGTAAAAGGAATAGAATTAACCAACATATTCAAGGTAAAATTTTCAATTTTTAAGAATTTTTAACTTAAAATTCCTTCTAAATAGACAAAATAAGTTTTATATGTGATTTTAGATTTAAAAAAAAAACAACTTATTATGTAAAAAAAATAAGAATTCATTCAGGGACCTTGCTTGTGAGAAGAAAATTGTAACTAAGTGCTGAAGAACATCTTTATACGAAATAAGTCATTCTAAATAAATAGTAAGGCTCTATTTCAAACAAATTATTTTCTTTGAGGTCATTTGAGGGTTACTTATTTATTCGGCCTGAAATATCATTTCATGGCTATGTTAGCAACCTTTGTTGACCAGGTTGGTCACTTTTCAAAATTATTTTGTACAACATATAAACTTACGGTAACCAAGCCGAATGCACAGCTTAACTGTATTAAAATATTTTAATTTTCAACCCCTCCTTCAATCCCAACATCATAACTAGTTTTAAACATTTATATCAACCAAATTCTTTGACCGTCTAGCTGTTGCTCACGGCTCTAAGTTTTATTTCAATCTAAAATGCCAAAATTACTCCCTCATCTACCCAATATGTTAGATAATCGTATGTAGTTTAATCTGAAACTCAACATTTAAAAAACTAAACTTTATCGTCATCCTTAAACATTTGATCACCAATGGCGAACTGGGAATGGGAAATTTTACTCCCTGGTTTAAATAAATATTATATAATTCATTTTTAGCAAAATTTTGTTTGAATAATTATAAATATTTTTCTAAATAATTTTCCAAGCATAAAAGTTTCTAGTTTTTAACTTACAAGACCTAGCTTTTAAGTAGCAGGAGTCAAAGCGGGGCAAATTTTTCCAACTCCGACTCCAGCGCAATTTCTCCTTCTCCAAAACCCAGATACAAACAAAGTCTACTTTACAGTTTAAACGCTGTATGAAATAAAAAATAGGATAATCAAAGCCAGATAAAACAACCCTTCTTTATATAATCAACATAAAGTAAAATTGTGTACCAACTCTTTGTCAAAAATGAACTCGAAAGATCTTTAAATTTATTTTAGGCAATATTTTTAGTTTACTAAAACTTTTTTCTAAAATGCCGCAATGTTTTGACTTTCATTTAATCAATGCTTTCTTAGATACATCAAATTTTCATATATCTTGAAATTGTTTATCTTGTAATTGTTAGCTAGAAAATACTATCTCCCTCATTTTAAAGTATTTACTTAAAAAGCAATGTCGGCTACAATTTACTTAAAAAGTAATCAACTACAAAAGTACGGATTTTAGACAATATCTTTAGTTTTTAGTAACTAAAAATTAAGCATTTCTAAAACACCACAATGTTTGATTTTCATTTATTCAATGTTTCTTTAGTTGTAGCAAATATTCGCAAATATCTTTAAATTTTCATTACTATAAAGCATTTACTTAAAGCAATGTCAGCTACAATCTACTAATGTAAATCTCAAAATCTCTCAGAAGTCACCCAAGTTTGAAACTACAAGATTATTATCTCAAAGAACATGGCGCGGCAAAGAAAATAAAAAGCCATTTTTTACTTTCTTAGGTTTTTGTCTAATGACTGCTGAGAAGTAAATGAGCTTCTGGATTTAGTTCTTAAAATACATTCTCTTCACCTGTTTAGAGTTAAGGAATTTATGAAAATATTGTTCGTTATATTTAAGATTGGTAAACGTTTTTAAAGCTTTTTTTTACCAATATCACGTGCAAGTTCAAGAAAATATAAATGAGTAATAAGGAACTCATATACATTCTTAGTCATTTAAAAGAAGCTTGTAGATCTTATAAAGTCTTATCACTGTTACTATAAATTGGTTCATTTAGTTATACTAATGAAGTAAGTTATCATTAAATGGCTCAGATAGTTATGTTAAAGAAGTTTATAATAATATATTATTCAGTGGGTTATTGTAACATATTTCATAATTATTATAAAAATGACCTTAGTTATAAATAGTTATTTATATATAGTTTACATAAAAGCCGCTG